CCCTGGGCAGGTGCCTGAAGGAGCACAGATCTCCGAGTCAGGCCTGGAAGAGCTGCCTGCACACCAGGAACACGCGTTTAGGGGTCGGTGTGAAGCCAGTCTGCCTGCATTTCCAGGTTACGTGTGACAGCAGCTCGCATTTCTCCCGCGTGCACAGCTTCGCTGTTTGAGGATGGGTGGAAGAAGCCTGTGCCTTTGTGCTGTGACCGTGCTCTTTTGATCCAGGAATAATTGAAGGAAACAATTTTTCTGCCACGATGTCAGGAAAATGGGTTCATAGTAAGCACTTCATTTGTCTCACAAGACTTTCATGGTTTTGCTTTAGACCCCTCCTGGCACACTCTGGCTCCCGACGTGGTAGTAACACCTAGGTCTCTAGTTTTCTAAGTCATATCGGCTCATCCTATTCGGATCGGCATTTTTAAAAAATGTTGCCAAAGAGGTGGTTTTATTTTTATTTTTAAATAGTCTTCTTTTTTATTTTTTGTACCAGGTATCGAACTCGGGCCCTTGGGCTTGTGAGGCAAGTGGCAAAAACCACTGAGCTAAATCCCTGGCCCAGAAACAGATGGTTTTAAATGCTGCCTTATTTAATTTTGCTAGGAGAAATTTTTATTTACTATGATGTTACTACTGAGGACAGCATAATGAGAAATATTTTTAAAGCAAGCTGAATTAATAAAATTCAGTAAAAGTCTCACATTTCAGGTATCTGCACTAATTTAATAAACTGTAAATAATGTGGGAGGAGGGAAGAGTAAGAATTGCATACACCATCTTAGTTATAAGTAACTGAGCTCCTCTTGTATCTCTAGGTATTTTTTCATCACCCAATTACAGAAAAAAGTAAAACAGAAACCCCTATCCTACAGATGTTTGTTCATGTTTCAGAGCATTATAATTTATCTTTACAAAATAGGAAAGGAGGACAACTAGAAACCACTCTGAAGACAGTCACACCGATTTTTAAAAACTGTTTCACAGATAAGAAGTCGGCCTATTCCTTCATGTAGGTGTCACGGAGCACCAGGATAACACTGGCGAGAAATCTACAGAAAAGTGTTTTACAATTAAAGGAGAATCTCATGGTATCATTAATTACTAGCCATAAAAGCAGAAAAGAACAATAATGTACAAGTTGAACCTGATGATCCTAACTCCCCCTTTCGATAATACCAAAACCTCACATAACAGCCTTTAAATGAAATTTATATTTATCTGTCAATTTAGATATCACCATATCACATAATCATTAAAAAGAAATAGCCATTTCCTCTCTATAGAAATATTATTAATTTTATAAGTGCTTTTGAGAGAAAAACAATTGAAGATAAAAACCTTGTTTAAAGTCAGCAACTTATATTGATGCTTTATATCTGAATTATTTTTTGTAAGATAACGAGCTTTGGTGTCAGAGTTTGATTTGAATCTTAATTCTACTCAGTATGTAAGATAATATGTTTATAAAGGGCCTGAAAAAGGTCAAGGCACACAGTAACTCCTCAGATGTGAGCCATTACTTCTAATCAAAGCGGTGGTGGTTGTCATGTACAAGTACTTGCTAAGAATGCTTACTGAACGTTATGGTCCTTCCCCTAATCACTGAATGAGTATTACTCACTCTGGATGATACATGAACACAGTGAGGCTCAGAAACGTCTGGAAATGTACTCAGAGCATGGACCTAGATGTGTGAGAAGCCAAAGCACCAATGCTACTAACCTCTAACTTGCTGCTTTTTAAAGGGAAGTCTGTTAAAAGTCCTTGCGGACTAGGTGTGTATTGGGGGTGGAAGGCTGCCTGGACGTTTACTCTAAGAACTAAACAACTTGTATGCCGATGAGAATATTTTAAACAATTAATAGTCATGCCCCAAATTATCTGGACAATTGCTAAATGTTGCTAGAACACTTCAATGCTTTGGTTTTGTATTTACCTGACAATAATGCCCAAACATACTTTACACTGGAAGGCTTAATTCTATAAAATGGAATACTACTCAGCCATAAAGAATGAGAAATTAGATTCATTCATAGGAAAATGGATACATATTGAGGATATACTCAAGTAAAATAAATAAGTCACACGTGTGTAAATACTGAATAGTTTCTCTGGTGTGAAAAGCTAGAACAGTACATAAGATCCTAATGAGATAATTGACCATGTGAAATAGGAAGCAAAGGGCTAAAGGTGTAGGGAAAATAGGAATGGTAGGGGAAAGGTAATAAGGGAAAAGAAAAAATATGACAAAATGAAAAAATGGAAATGAAGTGTTTGTAAATGGGGAGGGGAGGAGGGGGTGAAGGGAGGGCAGGGACAAGGGGAAAAAATGAGAACCAAGACCTGTAAAGGTACAAGATCCCAATAATGAATGTAATTGTATTGTACACCTAAAATGCACCAATAAACTCAATAAAGGGAAAAAAAAAAAAGAACAGAGGCTGTCTTAATGGGGAATGACGCATTCAAGCTAGACGAAGATCAAACATCACTAAGTGTTGAACAAATGAAAGTAATGTGAAGGGTGGACTGGACCTAGCACTGAGCAGAAGGATGTGTGCGGAGCGTGACTGAACGTTGATATAATACACCAAAGTTGTAGTACAAGTGTTGGTTTCATTTTGGCCAAACATCACCATCCAACATATTTAATCAACATTATTTTAAAATTACTAGCTTTTATAGTTTTCCTTGTGCCTCATCTGTAAACTTGTTTTTATACTTGTGCAAGAGCTATCAGCACAAGGCATTTATATCTAGTTTGAAGTTTATATATATAGTTTAGATAACGTATACAGATAACAAGTGAAAAGTGAGACGCTAATACACCGTTTTCCTCATTAAAAGGGAACTTCATTGCTCAAGTTTGAGAAGCACTGCTCTACTCTGGACAGCCTGTGCATGTGGCCTTCAGCAGGTCACTCAACCTTTATTGCTACTCATGTTATAGGACTTGGAGGACTAAAAGAAAATGTGCAAGTGTCTGGACCACAAAATGTATTAGAGCTCCACAGAGAATGCTGACAGCTAAATTCACTGTGTTTTGTACTACTCTTAGGTTAAGTGAGGTGACTGGAGAAAGCCTGGTATTAATGATCAAAAATGAATGTTCTACCGCTGTGTTTAGTGTAAAAATAGTTTTTGCTATTGGTTTGCCATAGACTATTTACATATTGTGGGACCTCCTTTGAAAGGAAGCTAATTTCCAATTCAGAAAGACTGAAGGTCTTTTAGGTATTTTAAAATACAAAGTATTCATAGTAACTCTCTGAATTTTGAATACATAACTTTTAAAATCCAGTCAATGAAAACATTTTTAGGTCTCTTTTACCTAACAGCAATTAAAATCATTTAACTATGTTAAGTTCTTCAGTATTTTAGCAAACATGGTCTAGTCTAACACTGCCTCAGTTTATAATTATGTGCTTACATTAACATACATTATAAAATGGGATTATGGGCACAGAATATTAGTTTTACTGCTTGACAAAAATATTAGGTCACATTCAGCAGTTATGATTTTGTTCATGTAATTTACCTAGAGAATATTATGTTTTTCTTCTAGAACCCAGTGAACCTGTATATTTAAGGCATGCTGTACTTAAGATTCAAAGATGTTCTTCTTGGAAATGTAGAAAATATTAATGATATCCAAGAGACCCACTAGTATCTAAGACAATATTTAGTAAGAACAAACACTTGAACTATGATATTTATTGGTCTGTCTTTATACATGGGCTACAGAAGTTATACTGAAAGAATGTACAGCAGATTGTGTGTGTGTGTGTGTGTGTGTTGCATGCATATGTATCTATGTTTAGGCCTACTAAATAGTCCTTACATCTCTGTGTATATGTGTGTTATGTATGAAAACTTACATATATCTATGTTTAGGCCTACTAAGCAACCCTTATCTCCAGGTTTCTCTGACGTACACTATAGGTAGACTATACACTCAATATGTGTGTCTCCACTCTAGTTCACATGAAAAAGCTCTGATCCGCCATGTGATGATACTTGGAGTTGGGCCTTTGAGAGTTAATTATGTCATGAGGATGGAACTCACATACTGGGATTAGTGTCCCTTATATAAAGGAACAGTGAGTAATGATCTCTCTCTGCCATATGAAGGAAGACACACCAAGGAGGAAGTCATCGGCAAACTGGGAAGCCAAATGACTGGCACTCTGATCTCCAAACTTGTGAGAAATAAATGTTGCTTCAGCCACCAAATTTATGGCATTCACCCAATAGGAATAAGACAAATTAGAACATGTTCTCAGGAAATCAAAAATCAAGGGTTAACCACATGCCACAAGGCTGTCATTAGTGCTAGTACAAATAAAACAGTGCACTACATGTTGATTACGATGACTATAAAGGAGGGGAAAGAGAAGAAAAAGAATTGAGATGTGTTGTATACATGTACCAGCTTCCCATGAGGACTGTAATCAGTATGTCCTGCAAACATGCACTAAGGAAAACAATTAAGGGAATTCCAAGTGGAAACTTACCTAATTTCTCTATAGCTTCTTTTGTGTTTTTGGTGCTTAATAAGCCAATTCACTTTTCCTATTACCATATAATTCTTCTCTATGTAGTACTTCAAATTCTTATTTCTATTCATATATCAAACAATTTAAACTCTATATACATTATATATAGACAATGTATCAGAAATATATGTATATATATATAAAATATACTACACATATAGACAATGTATCATGGGAAACAGTCTTTTGTAGCTTATACTGAACAGTATATTTTATCAACCATTACCCTATTTGAATTCATTAATCAATACCTATGGGAATAAACAAACAACATACATAAGCCCTTTTTTCTACTAGATTGATTATACTTATCCTTCCTTAGAAAGGGAAGATTTTTATGTCTTAACTTTCAAAAATGATAAAAATATGTCCATTTTTCCTACTAAAAATATCATCTACTCTCAAAATACTGTAGGTCAATTCCTTTGAAAAAGGAAATAAAGGATAAACCAATGAAATCAGACATATATTTAAGGAAACAAAATCTTTTTTCCCTAAGAGTCTGATAAAGACTGAGCTTTTTAAGAGACCATTTTCACTGCCCAGAAACTTAAATATGGGTGTACAAAGAAGAGACCAAATATATTGCTGAAGGAAGAAATGCTTTTCTTTGAAAAAAATCCTATTATGCCTTACATGAATTAACAAATTAATATTTTCTAAGCTATGTTTTCAGCAATTCAACTACATCTGGCATGACTGAAGTTTAACTGAAGAAGGACTCGGTGGTGCTTTAGATTAACATCAGATGCTATCTCCACCCATCACCCTTTATCCTCCATATATCTTTGAAAATGGCATGTGTGATGCAGGCTATCAAACCTCCCGACAAAAGCACAAATACATGAAAAGTACTTCATCATTTCAATATCAGGGTCATTACTTTCCTCTCTAGAAAACAACTGCACTGTTTAACACTCTGGACAACCATAAAAACACCAACTTGGTCCCATACCATATTTCATTCCACTGAGAAGAGTGGTCCTTATGTTCTTTAGTCAACATTAAATTATGACATCCAGTTGATATGCATATAGTCCATGCCACCTTCGTACCCTAGCACATCAACTGTGCTGGAATCTCAGCATATGCAGAAATCCTGCTTGTGTTACTGAGCATTAATATATTAGTCTGAATAAAGCAAACGAATATTCTTTCAGAATTATTGCCTGTAAGAAACTATATACTGTATATAAATTTACTTCTCTTCCAAATGGCAAAGTAATTGGCAATCTCTATTATTTATAGCAGCAATGGGTCAAACTGAGGTATCAAGCAAAGCTTTAAAAGAGAAAAGCTGGCATATTTTTATAGATGCTTCTAGTGAAAAAGACCTCAGATATGGACCAACAGTTGACTAGTTTAGGTGAAGTTTAAGTTCCAGATTTCCAAGGCTTAAGTGGTTAAAGGAGTTCTCTTTGAAAAGCAGCTTTGCTCGCTTCGGCAGCACATATACTAAAATTGGAATAACACAGAGAAGATCAGCATGAAAAGCCGCTTACCACCTGACCTCTGACTGGCTGCCTGGCCTCCATGACCTAGGGAACGCAGCAGGAAGGCCTCAGCATATTAGTATACAGGAAGAACAAACAGTGTATAGACACAAACTAAATGTGTCCATGAGCAAGGTAAGAATGTGGATCCGGGAAATAGGAAGTTCCTTCTTGTTTATATGGGAACACACAGGATAGATAGGGCCGGCACTACTTACTGCAGGGGATTTTCCTATTATAAATGGAGAGTCTGTTTCCTTTATCTCCATTAAAGAACTAGTTGGGGCAGAGGAGAATGGGATCCTTGGAAACATCAATACTGAGCACATTAGAACATAACGGTTCTACTTCTTCTTCCCTTAACTGCAAATGTACCTCATGGGGTTAGGAAGGCAGAAGTGGGTGGGTGTAGGAATCATAAGAGTATGAGGACACCCAGATGGAAATGATAATGGTTCGACCTTAGTTCAAGAAGAAATTTTTACAATGGAAAACAGATGTCGCTCTTGTTAAAGCGCAGCACAGGGGGGAGGAGCAGGCTACAAGAAATTCTCTACAAAACAGAGAGTAGGTCTTCAAGATTGGGGTTTTGCACTAACAGCTCTTGTTCCCCTTGAAAGTTTTAGGGGAAGGCTACTCAGAAGGTGCCAAGGACAAAAGAAGTGCCTTGTAGCATTCCCTCAAGTGTATTTATCCCCATTTAAAAATGAAATGAAGACACTGCATCACACAAACTCCCTCAGCAGTTTTCATCCAAAGACAGGAAGTTCTTTCTAAATGCCATCTTCATTCTGAAAGCTATCTTCATGATACCTTTGTGAAGTAGATGGCAGAATTCTAATTTTTACTCATAAACAAGCTAAGGGACAAATTAAGCCCAAGTGGCAAAAGTGGTCTGGATAAAAGCCAATTAATTACCAGGTCCCTGGATTTGGCCACTTAACATACTTCCTCTGTACTAATGTAGGCAACTCAAGAGATGATGAGCTGAACAACACTACTTATGACAAAGGGAAGGCAGTGCACTTTTGATGGAGTCTTTTTTCTTTTTTGGTACTGGGGATCGAACTCAAGACCCTGCACTTGCGAGGCAGGCGCAGTGTCACTGAGCTGAATCCCCAGCATCAGTGATGGAGTCTTTGGAAACTCTCTTCACTCCTTTTAATTAGAGACCAACTCACCTATGGTTACTGGAAAAGGGTTGAAAATACAGTCATGTTGTTTCTCCATACTGGTGAGATCAGAACAGTGATGATCTTAATGAACTGTATGACCCAAGGAAGCTCAGTACTTCAGTCTTAGTCTTAACTTGTACAGTAAAACTGTAAACACTGTATTTTGCTAATGTGTTTTATGGTTTTGATCAGACATAATTCCACATTCTTGGTCCCAGATGACAATTCTTTTATATTTATATTATGAACAGATAACATATATAAGATGTAAATGGTACTGACATCAGGATCTGAAATAAACAGTGCATCTGGTCAGCAGCCACTGGTTCTGTATATTTCAAGAAACAAATATACAAAGGAAGCGTGCAATGTTTAAGAAATGAAGTGAAGAGTGTTGGTGGCTCGTATAATGGAGAAGCCAGTGTCCTTCAGGAAACTGAAGATACTCAGAAGCTGCCCCCCAGTTTCTGTTAACAACATTCTACAAATGAACGCTCCATTTGATACAAATATACAAATTTAAAGTGTGCAGTTCAGAATGGCCTACCAGGTTTAGATTGCTTATGTGCCAGAAAATATAGTCAATAAAAAAATACCAGAGAGGTGGGGACAAAAGGCTCTCTGGATCTGTACAGCAAAATGAACATGACTTCAATAGGCAGCGATTCAACGCTCAAGTGGCATCCTTGGAACCAGGAAGCGCTGGAAGATGGTAGGTCACAAATCTGGTGACGGAGGGTAAGGTGTATAGTAAGGCCCATTTTCCTAAGGAAAGAAAAAGACATGAATGTTAAGTAACAAAACCAACTTAACAGGGAATGTGGAAGAAAGGGACACGCAGTCCACAAGACAGTATATGTGAAATATCTAGCACATGTCTGATACTGAACAGACCCTCAGCCATTAAAGTACTTCCATTGCAATGAGTCAGAATTGGCGTATGGTAGGTAGGGACAGGAAAGGTGGTAATATGTTTAATAACAATAAGGATAATATGTTTTAATAAGATTAATACTGACTATTCCATATGCCAGAAAATTTACAGGCACCGTTTTTCAGTTTTCCACTATCCCTTTAAATATTCACATAATGCTATGAAAAAGGTTAACACCTTCATTTTGTAGAAGAGGAAAATACAGATAGTACATTACAGAGAACATAATTCATCTAAATTCACCTAGGCAGTAACCAGAAGAGCCTGAATTTAAATGCAAAGCAATGTGAATATAACACTCAGATTCTTTATAAAGACTGTGTTGTCTTACTGTGTGCTGAATTTTAACACAGTTATGAAGCTACTACTACACTTCTTCAATAAATAAATACCCATGTGAAATAGGAAGAAAAGGGCTAAAGGTGTAGGGGAAGCAGGACAGGTAGGGGAAAGGAAATAAGGGAAAAGAAAAAATATGAGAAAATGAAAAAATGGGAATAAAGTCTTTGTAAATAGGGAAGAGAGGAGGGGGTGAAGGGAGGGCAGGGATAAGGGGAAAAAATGAGAACCCAGTCCTGTTATGTAAAGGTACAAGATCCCAATGATGAATGTGACTGTACTGTATACCTAAAATGTACCCATAAACTCAATGAGAACAATAAATAAATAAACAAATACCCTACCATATGCATGGTGCAACCAAACATGATGAAAAAATAAATCAACTCTACTCATTTCTTTTCTCTGATCATACTTTTAGTTCTTCCCATTAAAGGAACATATTTCCCTACAAGGTAATGAGCAGCCATCTGGTCTCTCACTTCAGTGTCCCACGGAGCACCTCAAACTTAATGTGTTACAAAACAAACATACCCAGCCCCTTCCACCCAGGCCCCAGTACTTTTCCTTTCTATCACTTCTCTGAGGTAACAGCAATGCCACCCACCGAGTTTCCCAAAATACTTACTTTCTGCCTCATCCCTGATGGCTATTTACACACCAAATGCTGTACATTTTATTTCCTAAAATGCCCATTTCTAAATATCTCTACACTCTTCAAATTCTTGCTCCTATCACTACCACTGTCCTAGTTCTACTTCCGCTTTTCCTCTAGTCACTAGGAGACTCATCTGTCCTTGCGATGGACACACCCTTCTCCATCTCCATCTTTCTAGAGGAGCAGAACAACAGCAGTTCTCCCTTGCAGCACACTCTCCACTGACTACAATGTCAACTCCTGCAACGCAAAATGTGAAGTTCCATTACTTAGTGGGCTGGCCTCTGCCGGTTCATTTACTGTCATCTATTGATAAACTCTTCTTTCCTCCCCCTTTTACATCTTGTCTCTCCTTGGTCTTCATATACTTCATGTGGTCTAATGTTTCAAATTTTAGAATTTTAGTATACATACAAAATGAAAGGTTAATAAGCCAATTGCTAGTTGAGGTGTTAATTTTATTAATCACACTATTATTCCTGCATTTAATATACAAAAATATAACAGAAAGCTAAAACCAATACCAAACAAAACAAATGTAGGTTTGATTATGGTAAAGCTGTAACTGATATTTAATGAAAGTCTGCTTTACAGATCCTTAAGTGTACAAAAAGTGCTTAAAAACGGCCCTTTGTAGTTCCAGATTTGTGGCATCAAAATATTTTTTAGTGTCTTTCACATTTCTTGCTGTTCTGCTAAGCACCAAGAAGAGTGAGGATAGTTCAAAGACATAACAATAAGGCTACTTTTTACTTCAGCAATCTGCAGTAAATACAAATGGATAGAATTCTTCCCCACCCATATATTCAGCAGTCTTTGTCTCTATGCGCCAGCTGCTCCATTACAAATCCTCTCTGTCCAACAGCCAAATATGAAAATTTACTAACCATTAAGACACATTAAACACTTTCCTTTTCACACAAGGGGAACAGAAATTATGGCTTAAGTTAGAGAAATGTTAGAAAATGTGTTGCAGGTTTTTGACTTTATATATGTTGCACAACAGTTAGGACAGAATAATAAATTTTTAAACGCATTCTCTTGTATAATACAAGATATGTAATCTGCAACAGTTAACCAATGAGCCTGATAAGTTTTGGACCAAATATGCTTTTTAAAAATTGCTATGGTGGTACTGTGAATAAACACAATGGAATAGAACTTTGATGAAATTCATGACTAGTCCTTTGATTAGTGCTTAAATAACAGATCTACAGATACAGCATGTATAAATAGTAACAACACTAATATTGTTATTTGATGTTCTTAACAACATTACATTTAGTTTTAGAAAGTATAACTTTTACCAAGGTGAAGACTACTAAGATAGGCTGCCTGGTTCACAGAGGTGCTGAAAGTGAATACCAATCACTCCTCCGGCTCTGTTTATGTTGCCAAAAAGCCATTCACCATTAAGAAAATTAGGAGAGGTATCAATTTCAAATGTGGTGGAAAGCTGATACTCTAACCAAGGACTGACTCCAAACTCACAACAGAAAAAGCTCTCACTGAAATGTTTATCTGGGAAAACAAACTTCACTTGGAACAAAGATTATTCCCACAGTCATTGTAGGAAAAGAATGTTAAATGATATTATCAAGCTTAGACACACTAATCTGCATCAATAATATCTTCTAACAGTAGGATGTTGTGCTCGTAGGAACTGCCAAAGAGTGTGCTCTAGCCACTCAATGTGCTACACTTACCCTGGCATCATATTCAAGGACAAAAGGAGGAAAGTCGATCTGTTCTGGTGATATGGCAGAAAATAGCTGGTGCAGACTGTCCACATGGTGAATTTTGTCCTTCAGTCCTGAGACAGAAAAGGTGGTGAAAAACCATGTTGATACCTGATTAATAGAAGAGGAAAAAAAAATTAAGCTACTGGTCGGGCAAAAAAAAATTCAAATATGCTTTTAAAAATTTATACTAGAGAAAAATTATATTTAAAAATCGTGGAAGTGTCTTCAGTGTGCAGTTTGTAGCTCATCAGTGAGTTGTGCAATCAGTTTAATAGATTATGAACGCATTAAGAAAGCATAATAACAATTACAAGGGACTCTAAGAAGGATGAGTTTTGTTTGAAGAAGTTTTGTTCATTATGTGCATATGTTTCTATGTGTGTAATGTGTTGTACTGCAATATATGCTTCTTACTATAGCTGTAGTCAAAACCAATGTATTATTTGATACAATAATTTGTCGTCAGAAAATGATTAAAATTTGTAAATCTCACACATTTTTAAAATTTTCAAATGAAGTTGAAAAGATGATTTTTGCCAACATTTTGGGACTAAGATATTTTCAGTTAGCACTTGGTGTGAGGTCTTTCTTGAAATCAATCAAAATGAAGCAGCTACAGACACAGGGACACCTTTGCTCATGTTACTTTATAACATGGGAACCTGATTTCAAAGAAGGTAGCGTTGCTTTCCAACTCTTTCCTTTCCAAAGGTGGCTGATGACTTTAAATTCTATGCATTTTTACATGAATTTCAGAATCAATTGGTCAACAAAAAAATTATTGAAATTTTTGTTTGGGAGATTGGAGTAGATTTATCAAGGAATAAGAACGATATTAAGTCTTCCAATCAACAAATACAGTATATGTCTCCATTTGCTCACCTTAAAATTTGTCTTGATGTTTTTCAGTATATAAAACTGTATACCCTACAAGTTTTAGTAACTTTTGTCAGACTTATCTGTTAATATCTGATTGCTATATAAAGACAATGCTTTTTAAATTTTAATTTGTTTGTTGCTAATATATACATCTTTTTTTTTTTTTTTAATTTTTGAGACAGGGTCTCACTATGCAGTTGAGACTGACCTGGAACTCACTATGTAGCCCAGGCTGGTCTCGAACTCCTCACAGGGATCCTCCTGCCTCAGCCACCCGAGTACTGGGATTACAGGCATGCGCCACCAGCCCAGCTTATACATCAACTTTTGAATATTAATTTTTATACCCTGAAACCTTGACCAAACCCACTCATTAGTTCTAGTAGCTTTTTGCCTATCACATATTCTACATAGGTAATCACACCATCTATGAATGAATTTTATTTATCCCCTTTTAATCTAGATGCCTTCATTTCTTTTTTCTGCTATCCTACACTAACTAGAATTTGAATATAATGCTAGACAGAAGTGCTCAGAGAAACTATCCTTACAAAGACATACTAAAGACTAACCTAATCCTATTTGTTACCATTAAAGAAATGTTCAGTATAGTTAATTGGGTTAAAAAAATAAATCACTGATGGAATCTGGGAAAATAGTTAAGCACTATTTCCTTAAGTGCTAGAGAATAAAAAATTAGTCATCTTCTGAGAATAACAGTGGAAACCACTGGGAAAGTTAATAATAGACATTATCTGAGAAGATCATGTGATTAGAACTTATCTGAATCAAGAACAAAAAAAAGGCCTTCATTTAGCAGATTAGATGCTTTTTAAAAGAGCCTGGCCAAGTAGTATTCTCAAATTTTTGCACTTATTTAGCTTGTACTATGGTATTCCAATACTGAGAGACCAAAGGGAAATCTGAAACTTCTAAAAAACTTACTTAAAATACTTCATGCAATTTTTGAACCTGGTATGTGAATGAGAAACAATAGTTATATAACTAGTGACAAATCCTACAGTGGAAACTCTCTCACTTAAGTCTTAACTCAAATTTCACCAGATGTGACTGAAGGCAGTTGGAACAGTGCAATGCTGGAGGTAGGAAAACAGTCACGTAAGTACCGTGATCTAACCAACTGTACCACCAGAGCTCCATCAAAATGCTAATTACTGTGTTACTGTAGGCAAAAGGTGACAGTGGGAAGAATTAAAGTAGAGGCAGCAAAATTAAAGACATAGGCACAGATTTGACAGGAATAAGGACACAGAATTAATGTCATGTGCAGAGTTGTGAGAAGAGGAAGTGTTCAAGGATGCCACCCATGTTTCTGGCTTAGGCTCCTGGATAGGCAGAGGTTCAATTTACTAAGATGGGGAATACAAAAAGCACCTTGGGATTTGATGGAGGAAGGGGACATGAATAGGTCTGTTTTTAATTGCTGAATTCAAGAGTCTACACGATATTGGCATGAAGATATCTAATTAGCAATTCAATGCATAGCTCTAGTGCATAGGAATAATGATAATGACAGCTAACATTTACTGAATGCTTATTATACATTAAGTAATTTTTAAAGCACTTAACATGTATTTATTCACTTTACTCTTTCATTAACCTTACAACATAGATAATATTCCCATTGTATAGACAATGAAATTGAAGCACAGGGAGACAGAACTGGGGACTGCATGTATTTTGAAGGGTCTCTGAAGACAAGGATATGAAAAATGGTACAGAATGAAAGGGCAGAGGCTTTGGGAATACTACTACTCAAAAAGTGAGCCGAGAAAGAGGGTCTGCAAAGGCAACTGAGAAGGAACAGTAAGGACAGAAACCAGGCAAGGCAATTTTCAAAGCTGAAACTATTTCAAGGTATAAGTGATCGATCATATAAGGATGTAAAGAAAGTAGGTATTATAGATACAGAAAAGTGTCTACTGGATTCAGCAACAGGTTATTAGTGATTCTGGTGTGAACAACTTCAGCTGGCATTGTGGGATTAGAACAAGATGAATAATTTAAGGCATATGAGTAATAGAGATGGTGAACATAGGATATAGATTACACTAAAAATTCTGGATATAAAGAGAGAGAGAGAGAAGCAGAGCTCATAGCATGTTTAACAGTTGGTGATTTAGATCCAGCAAAGTAGGAAAGGAGAAAGACACTAACTGCTGAAGAACAGTTCCCTAGGAAATGGAAATACCCTTGTAGTGAAGAATGTAGTTGCGAGGATTAAAATGTTTAGATTCAAATCCAGCCTTTGCTACTTCCCGTGAGCATCATTTCCCTCATCCATCAAATGGGAATACAACTACTCTCTACTTCACAGGTATACTTAAACAGGACAAAGCCTGGGAAGAAGTAGCACACAGCAACTGTTACAAAAACCTGAGCTATTGTTATTATTTTAGGCACCAGAACCCAGGTGGCAGGATCATCCTTTGTTAAGAAGGAACACATTTTTTGTGATACAAGAGGGAGGCAATGACAGGAAGAGATGGCAAGTAAGTTTGAAGTGGGAAGGGAAGGCAGAATTCCCTACTGATGTTTTGTTTTTGGTTAGAATGGGACAAGGCCGACTTAAGAGTAAGGCTGGAGGAGACTGCAGAGCCATGCTGGGCACTGTCTAGTGAAATGTCCAGGCCCTCCTGTGGAGAAAACTTCACGACTCTATTAGGAATCCAAATCCTCATAGCTGTCTGAGTTTTCCATCAGTGCTCTGCAACCTAGACATAGGAGTGAAAAAAAGCAGAATGAGGGGTTACTTCCAGATTAGGTTTTAGGGGCAGGTGTGAAAAGAGTAGAGTTCACAGGTTATTTCAGGCACTGACAAGAGTAGCTAAAGTGATTAATGTGGGTTTTGGGCTGGATAGTGGAGAGAATAAATGTAAAATAGACATTTTCAGAAGGAGTAAATGGACCAAGGAATTAGACATGTCTATGAAGCCAAGGTGCATAATTTGGTAGTAAGCTGTGAGCAAGACAGCTATATCCTTGCCCTCAGAGATTTTGTAGGCTAACATACAAAGCAGGAAATTAAATAAGCAATAACAATGAAAACATTACAATGGTAGAAGACTATGGAACCTTCAGGAGTACAATGCAGGAGTATCTACTAGCTATAGGGTTGGTCAGGGAAGGTTTTCTATAGAAAGTAATTGTTTCTTTCTTTCTTTCTTTCTTTTTTTGGGGGGGAGGGTACCGGGGATTGAACTTGGGACCTTGTGCTTGTGAGGCAGGCGGTGGAACCACTGAGCTAAATCCCCAGCACTGTAGAAAGTAACTGTTGAGCTGAGATCTTAGGGAGAAACAGAGAAACCAGTCACAGGGAAGGCGGAAAGTGTTCACTGTTCCAACAGTATGAGCAAGGTCCAGCAGAACAAAGCAGAGACTGAGAAGCTAAGGACTTGTAAGGGCTGCCCACAAAGACACTAGACACACACACAGACATTAGGAGCACTAGTGGGGGAATCAATTAAAAAGGAAGGGCAAAAAAGAATGTTAGTAGTCACAGTGTGAAAGCAATAATCAAGAGGATGAAACAGCTCAATAAACGGAGCACGTGCTATACTTAATTTCAAGATTTAGCTAAAAGAGAAAAATACTGTACCTTTGAACGAAATGTTGGATGTACAAAATAAACAGCTTTCAAATTCCTCTTGTACCTAATCAAAACAAGCAAGCAACAGGCTCAATATAAGTCATGTCTAAACCAGTCACTATTATAGACAACTGTTGGCTTGAATACATAAATATATTCACAGAGGAAAAAATATTCTGAAAGCAGCTCTAGTTTATGCACTGAACTTTAGATGAAATGTGAAAAATAAGAGAATATTTCATTTAAAGTGTCAGTTTGACAGGAGATATGAAATGTTACTGCAGACTGTGACAAAGCCATCTAAAGGTGGGACAAAGTAGATTAGTATTTAACAGACATATTGTTATTTTTTATATGGTGATGAGGTATCTGGGATCAGATTAATGAAGTGAATAACATTAAAGCCACTTAAAATAGCAAAAACTAGAAACAAAAATTTCAATGGTCAGAATACAACAAACAGATTTTACTGGATCCCAGAAACTGTACAAAGGCTTTCTGTACTTAATTCTTATAACAATTCTATGAGATGAAAACTATTATTGCGACTATCTTAAGCCTCTCCAAGACATCAGCTACGAAGAGGCAGAGCAGAAAACTGAACCTGGGCCACATGGGTCCAGAATTATAATCTTATCCACCGCTTCATCTAGCTTTTTAAGTATGACTAAGACTTTCTTAAACAGTTCAATAACCACCATCTGGTCAAATGAAGTGAAATAGAAGACTTCAGAGAATATTATAAACTCTTTCTTTTCTATGTGAGGCCTGTTCCAAGTTAATAGCTGCTTTGTGGCATTAGTAGGGACAAAGAGGAGTGAATTCTTTGGATATATACAAGCCACACTCAAGAGCGAGTTAAAAGGTGTCTAATGGATAATAAAAACATTAATATTTCAATTAAAATGAAATTTAAGAGAAGACTAAAACAGTTGGGTATTTATGACAATTTACCTTCTTTGCATGTTAATGGTACAATGGATTTTTCACAGTAATCTATAGACACTGTGTTGCTACAAATAACAAAATAGCTACTAAGAGGGTAGAATGCCATTTTTACTTAAGAAATGCATGGATGAGAAAAAAATGAAAGCATTACATTTGATCTTGCTGTAGTGGGGTGTCGTGTTTTTTAAAATTTCCATTATCATCTCAAGTGAAATATAGTTTAATGAAAATAATTTTCTAGCTATAACTGAACAGCCGATTGAGTCCACATTCTTCATTCACTGTTGTGAGCCTTTGGGCAACATGCTTTCCCTTTCAAAATGTCATTATTCTTCTATCTTTCAGGTATAGACAATCTCTTCTCCTTCTTCTTCTTTTTCTTTTTCTTTTCTTTTTCTTTATTGGTACCAGCATTGAACTCAGGACCTTGCACTTTTCAGGCAGGTGGCAGTACCACTGAGAAAAATCCCCAGCCCTGACAATATTCTTTCTTCTTGATAAACTTATGGGCTACTAGATCAAATTAAATAATGTTTACTAATGTATTTTAAAATATGCTTTTGTTATTTTATAAACAAAAATTGGTAATCATTCCAAGCCTTTTCTAAGGTGTTTCAAAGTGGGAAAAGATCACAAATGACTCAATGCAAAATAAATTAGAGATAAGGAAGTCCTCTGTTGATTAAACTATCTTTGTATGATAAAAATCTTTGTCAACACCTCTTTACAGAATATATAAGAATGTTTGTTTCTGCTTAATATTTGAAAATAAAAAAAGCAATGACCCCTTTATAATTTGCAAAAATAACTAACTTGACATCAACAACATCGTAGAGTTTCTTCAGGAAGTCAGAGTCCAGATGATTGTATTCGCTGGTCAGTGTGTGAAAATATACTAATACATATTCCTTCACAGCAATGTGATCCATTACATGGATAAAATATAAGAGAGCCTAAAAAAGAAAGAGGAATAAAGGTCACTTTGTGCAATAGTCAGTTTCACAAAGGCCCACAGAGAGAAAACCAGGAAGACTGATCTGAACTACGCCTAATCATCACAGATGGACACATCAGCTGGTGAGTGTCAATCCCCTTTAGAGAGATCTTCAGGAAAGTGAATCATCTCCATGTTTAGTAGTTCCCACAGATTCTGTGGTAGAATCCCTGTCTGTCTTCTCTAGGTAATGGAATAATCAGCTTCTATCCTCTGAAATAACTCTTTGTATCCTGGAAACAGTTCTTGGGTCAACTACCAGGTGTTCCTCTCAAAATCCTCACAAGTACTACAATTCCTAGACTTTTAATAATTCTTAAGCTTTTGCTTGAAGTCTATCAAAAACTTTGCAGCCTCTGCTGAGAGCATCATGGCTCTAATGTAAGCAAGGCTTAATGTAAAAGGATATAACGAATAGTGCTTTAGAAGTCTCATTTTAAGGGATAATTTTCTTAGCATTTTTAACGCTAATCTGTATGAGGAAATAGGAGTGGATTTAGTCAGCACATGGCAAAAGGCTTCATAGTAGTTCTAGAGCTTGGAGTCAAATTTAATGTGACTCAGGGTGGTTAGAGAAATATTCCATTACAAGAAATTTAGGAGAAAAACAAAAAAAAAAAACAGAGGTATACATGGGCAGGGCTGGTATAGGCAAAGGCCTATGCTATAAACGAATTACAAAGAGGAAGCTAAGAGGTAACACCTAAAAGGATTGCTACAAAACAGGCTGTTTTCTAATTCCTCCTCAGGCATGCCCTTGGCATTAACATGGGATTAGGATCCAACTGCTATCAGAGCAGAGGAGGGCATGAAGAAAACACAGTAACTTTTTGGGTGTCATCACATAAACCTCACATAAACCTTATTATTCTACATGAAATGATACAGCAAAATATCCAGGATGCCACACAAGTACACACCAAAATCAAATGCAAGTTGAGTATTTTCTTATTTTTATATAGCAGTTGTTAAAACATTTTTCTTCTAGGAATCATCTATTGCTAATGAAGGGATTACAGAACCATACTACCGTGGGAAACTACAATTCTAGTTCTTTCTCTTCTGATATTCAAGTATTTTTCTTCTTTTCAAAAAAGTCTGAATTTGACTGCAATTATAATACAGAATGATCCCAACCAAACTTATGCCAGTTACATCATATCCAAAACAAAGCAGCCATGTTTTGGAGATTATATTACAAAAGCCCAGAATTTTTGCTTGCTCCTACAGTGAAAAATCAAGTCCCTGATGTAAATGCAATGATACATGCTGCTATTTGGCCAAAGACACACAATTCAGCCTCACCTCTCGTTGTAAGCTCTGTTCCTAAATTCACACTCTACTTATAGTTTTGACCAACAGTATTTATAAAGCAGAACCTTTTTATGCCTTACCTTATCCATATCTATCAGTGTGACAGGGATGTTTCTTCCAACTACTACCATCACTGTACGGCCACAGTTATCCACACCTATAAACAGAAAATTTAATCAGCACTATTATTTGTCTTGGCCTCTGATTCCATGAAGAATATTTCACATACAACCTCCTCTTCCAATATGTGAAACCAGAGGGGGAGGGTGGGGCAAGAGGGCTGACAGAGGGGGTGAAAATGAACCAGGTATGCTGCCGCTCTGTGTGAGTCCCAGATGAAACCCACTGATCTGCTAACCAGTAAAAAAGAGTGGATAAAATATTCTATACACAGATAAGATTAGAAACCAAGTAAGTTTCTGAAATTCATCTTCAGATTTCTTTAGCTATATAAAACACAATGCTTTTTTCTTTTCTTTTTTAGCTTTGTGACTTTTACAGTGAGACCTCTTAAAGATTCTGAATCAGACAGCCTATATGTTAGGATGTTTTTATAAGTAATTTTTTGTTTAAGCTCACCACGATTCTTAATAATATTTATGATTCAGATAAAGTATCAGTCAAATCTGAAAATTAACAATACTGCCTGAAAACGAAATATAATGGAGAAAGAGTGGGAACTTAGGAGATTTTTCTGTCTCCATTATAAATTTATGTAAGGTCTGAATTTTGTTAATAGTGAGTACATAGTACTGTTAAAGTGGAAAAAAAAGTTTAAGAGAAAAAGGATAATAGGAAAAATAAAGCTGGTGATGTAGGGCCTAAGTTGAAAATTATATATAGGTTGACATGCTATTTTAAGATCTGAATGATGAGGAAAAACTATGCATTAGTACATAAACATTTTATTCATTAACAGAATAGAAGAAATCAGAGAAAAAGGTCTCAAATAGCATGCTGGGTTCAGTCCTTAATTAATGGAAGAATAAGCTGCTATATTCTTAAACTCACCTGTTTGGTATAAAGCTTTCAGAGATGCAATATCAGACAGATCTTCAGATCTCGCTTGACACAACCACCGATTATAACTAAACAAACAAAGAATACAGTTATTATAACAAACTCTTGCAAACTAAATTTGTGAACTTTTTAATCTTTCCCTGACCCTAAAGAACTGAGGTTTCATTAAAATGAGGAAAGAATTAAAGAGACCATTAACCATGCAGAATATTATGTTTTGGTAAAACTAATATAAATGAGTTAATGATAAAGGAGGTATGTATGCTCCATGAACAAAAAAGTTATTATGATCAAATGAAATCCATACAGACAAATGGCTACCAAGTACTTGGGCTAATAGTACATGTTTTTATTGAAAGAAAACAGAAATTTCAGCAAAAAGGAAGACATACTTTTTTATAAATACAGTGGGAAATTATCATTCAATAGAGACAATGCTTTCTTTTAAACTTTCCTCTAAACTTTTATTATTCAAACAATATTTTATATTTTCCATTATATCTCTTAAAAAGATGTCTTTTTGCTAGAATTTCTGTTTTCTTTCAATAAAAACATGCACTTCTTTGCTCCAATGTAAAAACCAAAACAAATCTTTAGAAAGAAAATATTAAGTCAAAATAGATTCAGGATTTCCTACAGCCTATCCCAATATACAAATTTTTATTATGTGCTAGATAAAAATGAAATAATCATGAATAGACAATCATATAAAATATATCAAAACAGCAGTAAAAGTACCCACAAGAGTGTCCAAAAGGCACAAATACTAGGTTAATAGTTTTCAATGGACTGCAAACAACTAAGGTTGGATGCTGTCCTCAAAACACTAACACAAGCCAATTTCTTTCAGTTAATCAATAACCATCCACCAGCACAGCCAAAGACTGAACGATGAAGAAAATTTAAACTAAATGACTCTTAAGAAACTAATAACTAACCCATTTGGGTAAAACCAATGGCCCAGGAAAATTCTGTCTTTGGAATTAACAGAGGATTTTCCAGATCTCAAGCAAATGCCCCACTTAGACTTGTCATTTATTCTCATTGTTCCTTCCACCTGTCATTTAAGTTTAACATTTTCTCCTGTGGAAGACCCTAAGCTTTACAGGGGCACAGACTGTATTTGTCTGCTTGTTACTATTACTAGTAGTATTCTAGGACAACACTCTGCATGCTATTAATGGCTTAATAAATACTTAATAATTAGCTAGAACATGTTTGTGCTGTGAGAAATGACTTAAGAGTCACAGGCCAACAGGTGTGGTGGTGCACACCTGTAATCCCAGCACTCGGGGGCTGAGGCAGGAGGATCACCATGAATCTGAGGTCAGCCTGGGCTACACAGTGAACTCAAGGCCAGTCTGGACTACATAGCAAGACCTTGTCTCAAAAAATCATAGATAGATAGATAGACATACAGACAGACTGATAAAATGTAATAAAAAAAAAAAAAGTCACAGAGAACTGGACATTAAGCCAACCAAGGAAAACCAATAGCAAAGAAAGAAAATGTTACTGTACCATACTTTTAAGAGTTTCAAAAGCTGTATTTTGGAAAAACAATACCTAAATTACCGACTAAGTTTTGTAAGTAAATCAACTTCTTAGATATATCCAAATTAATGTCACAGCTGGACAAAAGACTTGGAAATACTAACACAAGAATTAGACAACTAAGTTTTTCAGATATTTAAAAAAAATTATTTTTGGCATGCATGCACCACCACACCTACTCTAATTAAAGAACATTTTTTTTAAAGATTCACTACAAAGAGACACTCACGTAGCATGGCAGTGCTACAAAAAATGAAATAAAACTATGTCCCGCCAATCATGGGACCACTAGCTTTGTTACTGATGCACGAGGCTTACTGATGGGAGGCTTTCAAAAAGGCAGTACTAAAACCTGATGTACTTTTCAGAGGTAAAAAAAATTTAAAATTTGTTAAACCCGAATAGCTAATAAAGTTAATGGAAACCAGACTCAATATGTGAAAATAAAAGCCCTGTCGGTTTAGAAACATCAAGAAAAATGAATTTTAAAAAATACACACTGGAATCTCAAACATGGCAGGGTACGCAAACAGATGATTTACAGCTCAATTATATCATAAACTTCTGAACAGTCAGTCACTAATTGTAAAAGTTTTTGGTCTTAGAACCCTTGTATGTTTTTAAACGTTATTAAAGACCCAAAGGACCTTTTATTTGTCATTCATATTACACTACTTATCATATTAAAATAAAAACAGAAATTAAAAACTTTATGATTTAGAAAAAATAAAATGCCTACTATGTGAACATAACTTTTTATGAAAAAAAGCTACGTTTAGAGAGAAAAGTTATGCTCTTAATTTTTGCAAATCTGTAATTGCCACTAGATTCTTATATTTGATCCCACATTTAATCTACTACAATATTACATATTAAGTAGTTTCCAGGAAACTTTAACTGTGAGAGACTGAGAATGAAAAGGGAAAATAAGTCTCAGTAAAATTATGAAAATAGTTTGACCTCACAGCCCCCTGAAAGGGAATTAGATTCCCTAGACTAGACTTTTGAGAAGCTATTATCACTGATAAAGCATCCGTTGGCCTAGGGCTGTTTCTGTACTAGGAACTGTTACCCAGCCAAACCAACACTTAAGTAGGAGGCTTTCCTTTATCTAATTAGTTTCAAGAGAAAAGACAACAATAACTAAACAGGACTTCAGCCAATCACAAGCAGTTTGTTAGTTGGATCATACTCAAATAAGGCAAATGCCTCTTTGTAAGCCAGTCAAGTGAATTATTTTGCTTGCACTTTCAGCCAAAGCCTGCTGATCACAAGGCTGGAGCAAAGAGCTCTCTGAACCTCTTCTGGTTTTGAGTGCTGCCTCAATCACAAATCATTCCTTGCTCAAACAAACTGTTAAATTTATTTCGCCTAAAGTTTTTTTTATTTTAACATCACTCTGAAGTACTCTGCATTACAGATATAAAATAAAATCGCCCTCAGTCATCACAGATCTGGGCATATAAACGGAAAGTTAGAAAATCTTTTGATGATTACTCAGGGCAACTGAATGGCAGAGGTACCGAGTCTTCATTTCCTGACCTGGGCGCTGGGAGCCACAGGTCGTGCTGCATCTGTGTGTCCACTGGGTGTGTACAACACCCAGACCACGCTCAGAACAGCTGCCCTAAACTGAATGGGCACCTCCACCATCTGAATGTAGGACGGCTCACTTGAACTGCCACAAGGACCACCTTCACTATGTCTGTATACTCATGTCTAGAAAATTATCTTACAGAATAAGTTTCCCAAACCAAATGGAAAACACCTTTCAATAATGGATTTGACTATCCTCATCAAGGCCCTCTACCAGGATGAAGGACAATGCTTTCTATGCTAGATTTATATTCCATCTTCAAAGGTATTCATCTTCTTCTTTTTTTTTTCTTTTTTCGGTACCGGGGATTGAACTCTGGTCCTTGCACTTGCGAGGCAGGAGGAAGAACCACTGAGCTAAATCCCCAGCCCAAAGGTACTCATCTTCTAGGGATTCCTTTCCAGAGAGCATTCACTTAGTAAATATATATTCATTTTATTTTTAAAAAATGTAATATTCAATTTAATACTGGCTTGAGCTAAAAGTTAAGTGAAACAAATTAACTCATTTTTTAAAGGAAGAGGGATAAGCAACTAGCCCAAAGATAAACTTTTAAAATTCTAGATGATCTATACTTTCCATGGAGAAATGAAAAAGGTAAGCAGTAATTACATGTGTATGGAGATGACAGAGACAGACAGAATACACATTCATATATATACAGAGAGAGAGAGAGAGAGAGAGAGAGAGAGCGATGCAGAGAGAAGAGACAGAGAGCAAGCAGTATGTTGACTGATTTGAGATAGGTGATAACTATGTGGATCTTTCTTTGTAAACACAAAACAGGAAACAAAAACAACCAAAATAAAAAAAATCTAGTTCTCTAACTTCTCTGAAGGTGGTTTGTGTAAATGGGTTGAAGACAGTGACTGAGAAGGGAGAAATGCTTAAGGTGGTTACATGGAAGGCTCTTCCTTAATAGCTCTATTGAGGAGCAAGCCAAGGGGTCAAACTAGATCAGTGCCTTAGGAAACACAAGAATCAACTAAGGAAATTTCAGAGAAAAGATTTCTGAGTCCTTCCCACAGAGGTTCTGGTTCAGTTTTGATATGGAGCCGCCTGCAGATTTTAAACAAGCAACCGTGGTGATTCTAATGCTGACAGATTGTAAACTCCACTTTGGAAGACTATACTAGAGATAATCAAAATTCCTCCCAACTGTAATGTGCTGCTGAGAGATCACAAGACAGTGATGCTGAAAGTGTGGCTGCAGAACCTTGAAGAGGTCTCAAGACACCATATGGGGGTTTGAAAAGTGAAAATTATTTTCCTAACAACATTAAAACACTATTTGCCTTTTTTGCTGTGTTGCATTAAAAAGCAACTGCTGGGGGCCAGGGATTTAGTTCAGTGGTTCCACTGCCTGCCTCGCAGTGGAACCTAAATTAAATCAACTCTTAAGAACATCTTTTGAATATTAATGTGCAACAAAAAGATCAGAACATATAAAACTCTTCTGCATACTCAGGCTGTCTTGAAGAAAAGCACTATGTGGTTGTCTAAGTTGTAAGCAGGACCAGTTGCTCTCTCCAAGGAGTACCACTTTCACCTCAAGACTGGCAGGCAAAGTGCAGTTATTTAGCATGACTTGTTTTCTCAGAAATGCATAAATGATCCAGTCATTTCAAGAAAAATACAATTTGCTGTCAATGACAAAACTTGAACCTTAAATATGTATGTACACACACATATGTATACGAGTGTATAATTTTGGAAAATTTGTATCAACACTCGAAGCTGGTCAATTCTTAAGATTTAAAGACTTTCCTAATGAAACTGGTGCTAGTACTAACAAATATAATTATTTGGCCTTATCTACTGAAATGTGTCAATATTTGGAAGAGATAAAAGTATTTTCTAAAAGATCTATTTATCATGTTATAAAGTAATGCCACAAATTCCTGCTATATCTGTTTAAAGTATACCATAGGACAACATGTTTTAATATAGAATACAAAAATCTATGGTTATGGTTTGAGATTCCATATTACAACTTATTTAAGAAATTACATCATTCATCAAATATCAAAGAAAGGTATCCTCAGTTGTTTGAAATGGGTATTAAAATACTCCTCCATTTTATAATCATGTATTGGAATGATTTATGAATTTTTTAAAAATACAAAACTGTACTATTATCATAACTGAAAGTTTTTGATAAAATAGGATGAGTTTTTTAAAATAAATGTTTTCTGATATGATAAATATCGATAAATGTAAACAAAAGCTTTTTGGGGTCCTCAACAATTTTTAAGAATGCAAAGGGATTCTGGAACCAAAAACTTTCAGATTTACTAGCAATGCACAAGCCATAATGTGGACACATTAAAAAATATATATATATAGGGCCGGGGATTTAGCTCAGTGGTTCCGCTGCCCGCCTTGCAAGTGCAAGGACCTGAGTTGGATCCCCAGTATAAAAAAAAAGAAAGAAAGAAAGAAAGAAAGAAAGAAAGAAAGAAAGAAAGAAAGAAAGAAAAAAAAAATATATATATATGGCAGTCACATGAAGGGGAGCTCAGTCACTTTATTCAAAGAAAAATATGTGTCAGATGATTCTTATACATGGCCAGGTTAGATACCTTTGAAATTATCACTTGATTCTGACTGTGCTTTGAAAAAACTGTTCATTGGTGCCCCCTTGTGGCAAACATGCTCTTTATTTTACTTATTTGTTTTTTTAAATAAAATCAGAATAAAATGAAGAGCTGGGACTGAGGATACACAAAATTTCAATTCTTTAAGAGACTCCAGAGATCATCTAGTCCAAATCCCATTTTATGAAAACAGCTTGACAACATTAAGACATCATTACATATATAATAGGGGCCATGCTATGCCTTGAATAGGTTCAGGGGATGAAAAGTATGCAAAAAGAGGCACCTCTTCCATATTTGAAAGATAAAGCACAGGACTGAGGGACGAGAGTATTTCAGTAAAAGGAACAAGAAAGCTCACAGGTAAAACATACCATGGCTTGCTCAGGATTGACGAGGATAGCAAGGAACAAGTTAAGAGCTTGACAAATACCAGATGGTATACCAAGCTCATTACATTATTTTACTCCTTTCCACCCTTCAAGACGTTACCTCTCTACCAACTGTACAAGACAATACAGCAAGAAGCCATTTACAGTTTATCTTTTTTTTCCTCTAAAATGTTTTGAAAAGCAACTAGCTTTAACTAAAGTTATTAATTGTTGGAAGAACTTAATCTATAAGTACAAAAGCTACATTTTTAAAAAGATTTATTAAAAAATGGAGTGGGTCAGATACTTTCAAGATCCTTTGGATAAGCTGAGAAGAAATAAAAGTTTTAATGGAACTAAACTTTAATTATAAATATACTAAAAACTTTATAACTACTTTTCCCTTTGCTTAATTTCTACTTCTACAATATAACCTCCCACAGAGGCACTGCAATCAGAGTAGACAGAGCAGAAGTCATGTGTTTCAACATTGGCTTTACCACGTATTAACTGGGACCACTGACACATCACTTACACTAAGCTCTGCTTATACAAAATGGGGACAGGAGCTCCCTGACTAGAGTGTCGTGAAGAAACACGAGAACATATTATGTGTGTATATAAAGTAGCAGCAAGTGTCAGGTTCTTTTCTGGTTTCCCATGTCTTCATGTGTCTAACAGTCCCAACAGTTTGCCTTACTTTCTTTGATGCTGCTTCTGCAGGGCTGCCTCAGACAATTGTCCCTGAAGGATCAGTTTTCTTTGCTTATCAATATCTCCTTCCATTCTAGCAAAAGCATGAGAGCCAATGAAAGACAGATCATCTCTCAAGCCTTCATCTTCTTCTTCTTGGTTGTCTGTAATAAAAATACTGCTATCAACAGACAGCTGATGACAAAGTGAGGAAACAAATGAAACAGACTCTGAGTGCTGAAGCAGGAAGGACCGTGAGCGAACTGAAAAACTGCGATGGGCATTTTGTGAGAATGAAACTCAAATACGATTTAGGCATTTGAACAAGTGAAATAATGAAAGAAATTGCTTGTCCATGTGTGATGGAAGTTTTAGGAATATATGATATCAAATCATGGTGACCTGGGTGTAAACTTCAGAAAGAAAGAATACAATGGGATCATCGGCAGAAAAACAGAACTAAACTCTCTTTTGGTTTAAACATGGCTCATGGTGTTTGAGACCATCTACAGAGCATTACTTTAGGAGGGAACCCTGGCCCTTTGTCACATAATCAGCTAATGAAGTCAGGTAGGCCAGGATCACAGGCTATGATCTATATTCACTAAGAAACATAAACTGTCATTTAGCACCTTGGTTTTCTGCCCTAATCATACTAAAGTAATCATTCTGGTGCATAAAAGTCGTTTACACTGTGAATTAAGAAGCAAACTTTCTGGTCTACACATGTAAGCCTTTTGAGTTTGGCTAGTAGAAACCACTCTGTTAGGAACAGATCAGCTCTTAATGCAAGCGCTTACTAACCTGTTAACAAAAACAGAAACAGAAAAACAAACTTTGGACCATGGGGAATTTCCCAAAGCAGTGCCACCTGTGAATCCCATCAGCTGGGATTTCTCTACTTCATTGATACTCAAATTGTGACATGCAAACAGCTTAAAAGGCCTGGTTTCATTTCGTTCATGAGTGAATCTTTAACAGAAAAGTAATAATATATGTGTATGTGTATGTGTTTGTACAGATTTAACATTCTAATTGAAAGTATTTATGAACATATGAACTTGAAAGCCTGTTTTCTGAGACAGAAAGGCTTAGAAAAGGGAGCCTGTGGCTAATGAGAGCCTTATCTACTGCCTGGATGTGCCATTTTCAAATCGGTACTGCTCTTCCCTGCTCATCTCACTAAATGCATTTTATGGAGGAAAAATGTATGCTGTAGTGGTAGTCACAAGTATGAGCACTGGTAAGTAACTCCGGCATTATTTTAAAGATCTACTCTACCGGATACTCCTCCAGGGTCACGGTGACCGTCCAGCAAAGCCTGGTCTGACATTTCCATCTGATACCATTTGTAATTCCCTCCACTTGTCCCAAGGCTGCCCACTGGTGATAAAGAGGAGTTGAGTAAGCTTCTACAGACTTTAACCTGGTGGTTATCTTTAACAGAAGGGTTTACAGCAGGAATCTCACAGTAATTCCTAAGCTGCTGAATGCTTCAGGTCCAGCACTGAGCAAATAAGGCACGTCCAGAGAGAAGGTATTTATGACTTGATATACGTACGTGCGAAGACAGAAGCTTTCATACAGCATAGATTCAAAAGCAGCTTCCATGCTAACATGCTATGCGACTATTTCAACCTACATGAGTATAAAATCTAAAGAAATAAAATTAATGTTCATAGGATTGTTGCTTTAGTATTTCGTATATTACATATGTCTTTTATTTTATTATTATTATTATTATTTATTTATTTATTTTTATTTTTTTGGTATCCGGGATTGAACTCAGGTCCTTGTGCTTGCAAGGCAGGCCACCGAACTGCTGAGCTAAATCCCTGGCCCTTACATATGTCTTTTAGAGGGCACTGTTTAAACTGTTTAAAGCTTTAGGTAATGTGCTTGGTTTCTGTCTTCAGTGTCCTGCTTGACAAAAGCTTTGCTACACTTTGAATATTACATTCACCTCTGAGTCCCCACTGCCTAACACAGGCTTCGTATAATAGCTGTCTACCTATCCACACACCTTCCTACTTATATATATCTATTTTAAAATTTGAAGAAAGGAGCTAAAGGTGTAGGGAAGGTGGGATGTGTAGGGGAAGGGAAATAAAGGAAAAGAAAAAAATGTGAGATAATGAAAAGATGGAAATAAAGTGCTTGTAGATGGGGAGGGGGAGAGGGGGTGAAGGGAGGGCAGGGACAAGGGGAAAAAATGAGAATCAAGACCTGTCATGTAGAGGTACAAATTCCCAACAACGAATATAACTGCACTGTATCCCTAAAATGTCCCAATAAACTCAATTAAAGCTGAAACAAAAATTTGAAGAAGAAAAATCTCAATAAGACTAGGACTCTGAACTTTTAAAGTGCTCTGGATTTTAGAGTCACGCTAACAGAATTTTCTGATGGTCAAGCTCAACTTCCTACCTCTGAGATGGTTGGTATTTCATCAGGAGCTCAGCTTCCTTTAAAAGGAACATTAAGGAAGGCACAACTGTACGACTCACCCTCTGGAGCACCAGGTTTTTCGCTTATTCTGATCTGCCGTTCAGGCACCACAGGCTCCCCTTCGGCATTTCCAATATCTGCAGGTAGGTATGGCAATGATCGACTTTCCTCCTTTAATGACCTTGGGAAGTACAGAGGTAGCAGCTTTTGGTAAGTAGCCTGTGTCAGAAAAGCAAGGAATTCTGTGAAAATATAGAAGTAATGAAGCAGCCCGAGCAGTGCTTGAACAGCGAAGACAGCCGCCAAGAGCAGAAGCCTGAACACTGCTGAGCTCACACTGCTTACTCTCTGGGACCCTAAGTTACTGTGTGCTGAGATCAGGATACTGTGAGTTAAACAGGGCGTCCCTCACAGCAATGCAAAGGAAACTGAACCCAGAATTCATTATATTAAGTTCTGCTCCTCCTGTCCATGCCCCGACTTTCCCTTACTAGAGATGTCCGTCTTTCAAACCCAGCTTACATGCTACTTCCTCAAGCTCAGTGTGTTTTCGGGCTCCACTGACACAGCTTCTGTTCTTGTTTTTTGTTTTTAAACATCCTAACTATCTGTGGAAGACTGTTTCATGACCTTTCGCTTTTCAAAGACCAAAGATAAATTTCATTAAAAAAAAAAAACTCATTCTATCTTATAATTTCCACACAGGTTGATTCAATGCACTCTCTTTATAAATTCACAGTAGGTAAAGTGCATTTGATTTTCTTATTTTTCCTAAATCATGAGACTTTTTTTTTTTTTGGTACTAGCAATCAAACTCAGGACCTTGTGCTTGTGAGGCAGTCAGCAGAACCACTGAGCTAAATCCCCAGCCCGAGACATTTTATCACCCTAAAAGTTATTTTATTATTATTCAGGATCACTCATTGATTGTTCCAAACTATAATAAAAAAAAAGACTCAATTAAAATAGTAGGAAAACAAAAGAACAATGGAATCACTCAGGATGATGAAATCATTCAAGAAATCACTATCCTCCAGTTTTCTGTGTTGCACATGCGACTGTGTCACCTTTTAAGTAGGTGTATAAAAAGACTGCAGATACTAGTTTATCGTCTTTTAAAAATCTAAAATATAATTTACATAACACAAATTAACCCTTTGAAAGTGTATAATTCAGTAATAAAAGATGTTGTATAATCACTACCAGCATCGAATTTCACAGCATTTTCATTACTCATCAGCAGTTATTCTAGCTCTCCTCTCCCCTCTCCAACCCCTGGCAACTACTCATTTATCTGTCTTGATGGATTCACTCGTTTTGGACATTACACATAAGTAGAACACAATACGCAGTTCTTTCTATCTGGTTTCTTTCATTTAGCATAATGTTTTCAAGGTTTACCTGGTTGTAGCATGTGTTAGTACTTTGTTCCTTTTTTTATAGCTGAATAATAGCTCATTATATGCGTAACCTAATTCTGTTTATTAATTCAACATTTGAGTTGTTTCACTTTTTGGTTATCATGGATTATATTGCAATATTTTTCCACAAGTTTTTGTGTGGACATGAGTTTTTCTCTTCTGCATATATATTAATCAGAGCAGGTCTTCTACATTACATGGGAACTGTATGTTTAACTTTCTCAAGAAGTACCACAGTTTTTCAAAGCAGCTGTATCATTTTTATATTCCCACTATGTTCAAGGTCTCCAGCTTCTATGTACCTTTGCCAACACTTGTTATCATCTGCCTTAGTAATCACAGCCATTCCAGGGGGAGCAGAGTGGTATATCATTATGGTTTTGACTTGCATTTCCAAAATGGTTAATGTCACAGAGCATCTTTTCATTGATGACTGCTCATTTGTATATCTTCTTTGAAGAAATGTACATTAACCTTTTTCCCCCCTTACTTTCTCTGTTTTATGGTCCTTTCTCTTCTTAAAAAGCTTGCTAGCCAGGGAAGACTGACTGACTTCCAGAGCTAGCTAATTTTTGAGGATATTATAAAATGTACTTGGAGACACATCTTACATGTACAAATTAACCACTTGTACTCCTATTTTTCCTTCCCTATTTTACCAGAGTGCTGAGAGGTTATATTACTTCTGAAGGATACAACACTGAGAAATATTAGAAGTTGAATTGGACAGAGCACTGTTAAGCCTACAAAAGCTCAGTAAGATTAAGATCTGATTTCGTAAAATGGCTCTGAATTAAGCTGAAACAAACTAAAGTCGACCACATACAATAGAACATGTAAACCTCACAACCCTCCCAGGGCTAGCCCTAGTCCGCCGTCACCCGTGTGCAGGTCAGGGAGCCACCGCAGCTTCAGTAGCTGAGCCACAGCTTTCTGCCTCAGCAGCCCTGATGCCAAGTGCTCAGGCTGCAACGCGATGCCTTGAAATCCGGCCCAGGCAGCAAAGCAGGGCAACTTTGCTGTGAGATTTCACTCGACACTGCAACAGTCCAGTGGCACAAAACACGGATGAAAAGCTCTTTTCGACCTGTTTGTAGTTTCCAATATAATTTTTTCCAATGAATGATGGTAACTGCTACTGCCAAATGAGTGCATAGCTGATTAGGATTTGTCTGCTGGAAAAGCAGTAAATAGACAATGACAAAACGAAAGCAAACAAGGAAAAAGAAGATTTCAATATTGCAAAATAATTAATAAAATACCTCTTCAAGTTCAGTGACAGCAAATACCACTTTTTCAATGGTATCACCGTGAATCTCTAGGAATCTCCTTACAGTTCCTGAAGAAGAGAACAGAATGACTACTCAATAAGAAATTACTTACAAAGAATGTTGTAGTGGACCACTTCTCGTTTCATTCAGTGTGTGTGCAGGGATCCCTTATCAGAGAAGCCCACCCAGGCTGTCCTTTATGAAAACTCCTCCCTGACTTACTATGCTCCAGAGCATCTGTCGCAGATATTTTATGGAGTTCTTTGCTTCCTGTATAACCTCTCCGCCCTCAGTCTTTAGCCACTAGACCGAGAGCTGTGTAACAGTGCAAGCTTTACTTTATTTACTGCTCTATTTCCAGGGTCTATAACACAGCCTGGCACAGAAGATGCTGATGAAAGACAATTTTTCCTCGCCCAGCATGCTGCTCCCCTTATGCCCTGGGCCTCTCTCCTTCACCAGACCCATCTAGCGCAAGTGGAAAGCACCAGTGTCTTCCACTCATTTAGTTAGTATTAGATGTCTCACTCATCCCCTCTTCTCTTCTCAAAACCAAACATGAATTAACTTGTTAAATTCCTATGTTATCCTGATTTTTCTCTATCAGCTTCTTAATAACAGGGCCTTTTCTCAGTTCTTAAGTTACTGGAATTTCTCAGTCCTTTATAATGTTCATGCCCTCATCTTTTTAAAACATTCTACATGGCTTTGTTGGCAACACTTTTTACTTTTTTGATACACGCATTCCCCTTAGCTCACTAATTTGCTCAAATGCTGATAGGTCTTAAGTTTTTATGTACTATTTTCTAACACAAACACAGAATTACCTATTCCCTACTGGGCATATCCTTACAGATAACCTAGAGATCTCAAACTTACCCTGTCTAAACCTGACCCCAACAGGTCTAAATCCTGCCCTCTAGCTTCTCTCCTCCGTTCCTTATCTTAGTTGCACATCAACACCCAACCAGGCACACAAGCTAGAATCCTGAATTGGCTTTGATGGTTCCTTCCCCTTTTCCTTTAAATGGTTTCTGTGATGTTCTAAATTTACTGCTAACATTTCTAACATATATTTCTTCTCTCACCTTCCTTCAAGTTCTCAACACCCACAGACTTTTCACAATGAGCTCTTAAATCTTTTTTGCCTTCCATTTCCAAGTCTACATATTCACTGCTGCCCGAGTTATATTCTTATGCTGCCTTTCTTATTAAACATTCGTGGTAGTTCTGTGCTGCTCCAAAGTTAAGATTCAAAGTTGCTAGAGCGACACTCCAGCTGACCCCAACTAAGCACTGCTCCCCACTCCCCACCTAAGACCTATTTCCAGTCATTCTCCAACTATCTTCAGATCTAGCCGAAACTGCTTCTTTGCTACACTGCAACATGCTACTTTCTTTTGCTCTTATGCTGAACTACCTTCGTTTGCAGTGTTTACTTTTGACTGTAGTACCATCCATCTACCATTCTCTACTCTTGTTTTAAGACCCAGTCAAAAGCCATCTCCTTGGTTCGAAATTACACTCTTCTCTGTGCTCGTCCTACACAGGTTGAGTTATAACAGTGAAAGTTTGGTTTATGATTTTTCAACTTCACTCTGGGCTTCTTGGGAGGTAACACCATCTTAACTTGGGTAGCATGTGTTAATTCATTTAAACACTCCTCTGTATGTGAACTTTTCATAGCATTTTATAGCCAGACGTTTTCAAGGCCAAATACACATTACATTGAAATTACATTAAGGCCTAGCACATGTTGGGGACATGGATATGCAATCATTCAAAATTAACTAGTAACTCAACAATGTACAGCTCTAGTTATATATTGATTTCCTTAGTTAATACTGTATTTCAAGAATCTACTAAGGCAGCCTCATTTGTTAAAGGACTTTATATTCTTCTCTCTTAGGTGAAAGACGTACTTTCCTTTATATCTCTCTGTTCCGATTTTCTTTTTCTTAAAACATAAACTTTTAAAGTCAAGATTTTGTTTTATCCTATTTATATTTACACCAAGCCTTAATGTTCACACATTAACAGTTACTCAGCCTGTGACTGTGGTACTTCCTTTGAAAGACAAATTACAATCTCAAATAGTAACCAAACTGAATTCCCTCAATAGAGCTAGCTCATTTAGAAGAGCAATTCTGCATAAAAGGGGAAATACATCATCATTCTCAGGTTTAGTGCTGGCTGTGAGTTCACAAGATTCCCTCCAAAGTTTCACACGTGTGCGGTTCCCCACATCCAGTTAAAATGCTATGTGCTTAAAATTTAGTGAATACCTTTTAACTGGTGAGAAAGATGGATGTTAAGACTGATGGATGGTGAGAATATAGGATGTTAAAATTTCCAACTTGGAAACACAATTAGAATAAACACTTTTTTCTTCATTTTTTTCTTCATCTTTTTTCTTACCATCACAACCTCTTGTATAAAGCACATAGCCTAACCAACGTTACTCAATTTGTGTTGAATGAATAGATTACCAGCTAAATTTATTTCAATATGGATGTTTCTTAACGCTTTTTCTGGAGAACTGAACAGCCCATGAACTAACAATAACAAAAAAAAGTCTTGATAATGCTACACAGGTTTCAAATGAAATACAGTAAATTTTGATAGGGTTTTTTTTTTTTTTTTTTTTTAACCGAGGATCGAACTTGGTTCCTTGTGCTTGAAAGGTAGGCAGCGGAACCACTGAGTTAAACCTCTGGCCTGGGGTCAGTCTTTTAGAACCTAAATGCATGGCTTAATACTCCAATAGTACAATGAAAACTGTTCACGGTTTACATTGTAAAGTGCTTCACAAATGTGCCATGATGTAATCCATTTGACTGCACGGCGGCTGCAGACGATCCTGAGTTCTGATTCAACTACCCAGTGCACTGGCCAGGCTTTCTGGTTTGGTTCATTTTAACACTCAACAAATAAGTCTTCTAAGCCTTTATTCAAAGGGATAAAAATCTTGACCTGAGAAAATAAACCGAGAGCTCCAGAAGCTGTCAGTGGACACTGCCCTCTAGACTGTCATGCTCACTTAATCACTGAATCTTCTTTGGCTGTGACTATTTATTCAGGGATAAAAAGAACTGCATTTAACATTTTCGATTTATGTGCCACATCTCCAATATTACTTACGGAGTGCTATGTGCGTTGCATCCTCCAAGGGATAACCTCGTTTTGCAGAATTGATGACACAGAATCCAACAGAAGACATTGACTGCTCTCTGTAATCAAAACAAAATGCAAAACTTGTTCTACAGATATTTATAATATATACTTAACTTCCAGGTGACAACCAACTTTTCCTTCCCTACTTCCTCAACAAGTTTACTAACAATGGGTAAGCCAGTTGTACTATTTAATAATTATATGAACATTTCATTATGATCATTAGGGGATATATATTTCAAGTAAAGATTGAAAGACATGTTAATCAGTTAAATTCTCAAGTCACTTAAATTGTCCTCATTATACTGGTTATAATTAATTCTAATTTCAGGGCCCACCTAAATTATATAAGTCCCTCAAAATTTGACTTCCACAGCTAGGTTTCATCTTTAAATCCTTGGCCTTTAACAATGTTTGCCATGCTAGTCCAGGAAATGAGTACACCATACTTTGCTAGCTGAAGTACATTTCTGTAGCAGCTGTACAGGGAACTCTCAGCTGCTGTGCGATAGCGGCTCTTGTACTTTGGCCCCACTGTGTGAATGATGAACCGAGCAGCTAGATTAAAACCTTTCGTCAATTTTGCTTCACCTGTTCGGCAACCTGGGAACAATGGAAACACCCATTAAGTCTGCAGATGTTAGGGAAAATATCAGATCACAGCATAGAACAGAAACAGTACCAATACCTTTGACAAGTTGCAGATCAAACACAAGTATTTATTTCTGCTTGTTCCCATTCTCAATATGAGAATGAAGCAATGCAATGGGTATAAGTGCAAAGAAAATGGGAGCAACACGAAGCAGAGAAGAATCACCAGTATTCAAAGGTACAAAGTCAATGGATGAAGAATAAATGACTCAACAGAGTGGAGAAACCTGACTGCCTGCGCAAAATGGTAACCAACATGAGGCAATGTGACCGGTATGGAAAGACAGCGTCAGATTCCAGGCCGATGGCTTTAGTTTAAACCCTCAATTCTCCAGGTTTCTGGTCTATCATCTGGGGCAGGTGTCTCCTCCTGTTTTGATTTCCTACTTAAGGGGAAACTAGTAGCACTTACTTCACAAGATTAAGTGAGCCAATGCATTAGCTATTATTATACTACAAAGGCTCAGCAAATGTTGGGTCTCAGTACTTCTACAACTATGTGTAACGTGAGACTAAAAATAAAAGGAGGCTAGGGTTAAAAGGTTATATAAAATCGGTCAAGTCCACAACTTTATCCCAGCCACAAGAAGGGAAAGATTTCTTTACCACCATGGCATCACAGAAGGAGTTTATTCTTCTCTCACAGTAAACATTCAGTTTCTTGATCAGATGATACCATTCTTTTTCTATCACTTTTTTCAAAAAGCCAATACGTATTTCTGCTCAAACTGTAGAATTTTTCTTACACTATAAAGCAGTTTCAGTGTTCAATGGCAGAGATCAGGAAAGCAAGATTTTATACTGGAATTGAACCCAGGGCTTTTTTGAACTGAGCTGTATCTCCAGCCCTTTAAAAAAATGTTGTTTTTGAGACAGTGTCTTGGTGACAGGCTAGACTCAAATTTGCAATCCTCCTCCCTCAGCCTCCCAGAGGTATGCTTTACCATACCTGTCTGAAGTTCACGTTTTCCATGCTGAACATAAATGTTACTCATTCTTTGAATATAAAGCTTTTTGTATAATGGGAACACAATTTCACAGTATTCCATTTGAGCTCAAATAACTATAAAGGGATGGTAGGTCGGTAATTTTTAAAAAATTAAAGCAAATAAGATTCTGAACCAGAAGAACTCTTCCTATCTCCATTTCCATAGCAATATTCCCAGAAGCATGTTCTGATCAAAACAAACAAAAGGCAGCAGGTAAAAATTAACTGAGAATGTATGTATTCCTACAATGCACTGTGAATTTATTAGTAAGTCAATTTTCATTTCAGAAGTATACCACTGTATCCAGGTGGTGTACAGAGAGAGAGAGAGAGAGAGAGACAGAGAGAGAGAGAGAGAGAGAAATTTTCTATCAATATCAAAACATGATGCATAATTTTCAGTGAATGATAAGTGTTTTATAAGGCTTATCAGTGCAAGAAAATATAGTCAGGAAAATGGCAGCAATGATCTAACGACTACAAGGATTGTCATTTTAAAATTCAAACACATGACAGAGGAGCTTTACTGGCAAAAAAACCCTCAAGGCTCAGCTTTTAACACCTTGTGAGGTTTTCAAAAGCTGTTTTACTTAGTTCTAACAAAAAAAAAATACGTACAGCTACATAATTTTCTCACTTAAAATTAAATCTTGCCTTTCTGAGGCAGAAGAACACAAAAATAAATAATTCCTAGGGAATAACATACCTAAGTAAATTCACTCACCTTTCAGCTTCTGTAGGTCCTCCTTCAAATCAGGCCCTGCAAGCATGAAGATACTTTCTGACACAGGGTTCTTATCTGTGAGGTTTTCATTGCTGGTATTCACAATGGCTGTACAGTTCAATAATGCCACATCACCTTTCCTAAATAAGCAGAGAGAAGTGTACGGAAGAAGAGATGAGACACATACTTTCTAATTCCTTCAAAACATTCTAACATTGCCTCTTTTACAAGGTTAGTTTTGCTTGCTCACGATCTATCTACAAAGGAAATTCCTGACTCAGAAATTTAATCTGGCTTATTTGATACAGCTTTAATGCAACTGTTACTCCCCAACCCAAAACTCATGAAACCATTCTGTCCCACATTTGCTTAATACCTATTTCTTTTGTTGTAACAGAATGCTTACAAAAATGAAAGTGGTTGCTTTAAAGAGTTTAGAAATAGCAGCAGTTAGTCATAAAGGCAAAAAGTAGAAACACCACCAATTTCCATCAAGCTGGTAAACATGGGATATTCATTCAATAGGATATTATCAGCCATAAAGAGGTACTAATTCATACTATATTCAAACCATTATGCTAAGCCACAAAAACTTCAAATGTTATTGTATGGATTCCATTTACATGAAATGTCCAAAACAGGAAAATTTACAAAGAGAGAGAGTAGACTGAAGATACAAACTAACGTATAGTGACAGAAAAATCATTGGAAGTCTGGGGATGTGGAAACACAAGGAAGGGCATGAGGGAAAGACTACAAAGCCTATAAACAACTTCTGAAGTCAATGGATATATTTACTACCTTACTTGTAGTAAGCTTTATAGATGTAGACATATGACAAAACTTAACAAATTGTAGGGCCAGGGATTTAGCTCAGCGGTTCGGTGGCCTGCCTTGCAAGCACAAGGACCCGAGTTCAATCCCCGGTACCATACAAAACAAAACAAAACAAAAAAGAGCTTAGAGGAAATTATGAGAAAGTGTTATTGGATCATGATATTATATAGTCGAAAATTTACCAAAGAACCACTTTTCCATTGATAAGCTTATTATAAAGAAAAGGTGATCTAATAATATCTTCCTGAAATGTTTCAGCTGTAGTATCAGAAGAATTTAATTCATCTTCACATGAGTCACCCCAGCTTAGCAGAGTATCCACATCCACAAACTGGGAAGGTGCACCCAAGGGATCCATGGAATGAGTTTCAGCTTGTCTTTTTCCAAATTCCTCAGCAATTCAACAATCCCTGAAGACTTTAGCTTAAAAAAAGAGAAAGGATCACTTTATCAGGGAAACAAAGACATTACCTCAATCCTACTAAATAGCAACAAAACTACCCTTTTGTGAAATGCTTCAATAGTACACCATATGATTTTAGTCATTTAAATAGTCCAGGAGCAATAATGGACAACAAAGAATCCAGACAGCTTTTCTAAAACAGGAATAAAGGGCATTATTTAAGCATAAATTCTCTTCAAAGAATCACAGCCATTAAAACAATCACATGACCCATCAGCTGTACTTCTCTGAAATAGGACTGTTCATTTAACATTCACTGAGTGTCCACTACTTTTTTAAAAAAGTGCTAGGTGCTGCAAGAAACACAAAGTTAAACAATATGTATAATCTAAAGAATTCAGTTTGATAATAGTAATGTGGAGAATGTGCAGAGTAAGACAAAATGAGAACTATGAGAAGTGAGGTGGTTACTATAATCAAGTGCTAATAATAAATGTTTCAACTAAGTGGCAAGTAAGATAGAGGATCCATGGATTTAAGAGGCAACGTACAATGGAAGAATGAACAGAATTTGACAATTTATAAGATATGGTTATGGTAGGTGATTGGCGGTAGAGAATTAATAATAATTAGAAAGGAGGAGATAAGAGCATCCAGAGTGTCAAGTACTGGAGTGAAGTTATGGGAAATTTCACCAGACAAAAAGATTATTCAATCTGCCAATAAGGCACACAACTGTTTCTGTAAAACAGATCCATTCATTCAATAAATCTGTATAAGCATCTATTAAATATTAAATACGTTCCAGGCACGGGGGAATATACTAGCAAATAAGATAAAGTCCATGGTGTTGGGGAGCTTGTTTTTTTTGTTGTTGTTGTTTTTTTGTTTTTTGAGGCAGGGTCTCACTATGTAGTTGAGACTGACCTGGAACTCACTATGTAGCCCAGGCAGGTCTCAAACTCACAGCAATCCTCCTGCCTCAGCCTCCCGAGTGCTGGGATTACAGGCGTGTGCCACCACCCTGGGCTTGGGGAGCTTGTATTTTAATGGAGAAGAGATTATAAAGAAGCAAGAAAGCATCTATCAGAATGACTTGAGGCAAAATATGAGAGAAAAGTTGACACCTGAACAGAGAGCTCAAGTGAAAAAAAGGCTTGTGTAGCTCTTGGGAGTGCTTTGGACTGAAGAAATAGCAAGTGCAAAAGCTGAAAGGGCAGAAAGGAGTTTGCTATATTCCAGGAAGAGCCAAGAGGTTAACTTGGCTACAGTGAAATATGCTGGGTAATGAGTGGTTATGAGGTGGGCAAGAGAGGGAAATGTCTGGTGATGCAGTTTCTAAGCTATCGTAAGAAATTTAGATCTTATTCTAAATATAAGTGGAAGCTACTAGAGGATCTTGATCAAGATAACTAACTATAAGTAATATTAAAAATATACTAATACAACGAAATAAAGAATGGGCAAGAGCATAAGTAGGATCAGTAGAAAATGACACGATATTCTAGGTGAGATAGTGGTGCTGAAAAATGTTAGATTTAGATGTAATTTGAAGGTAGAGTCAACAAGACTTGCTAAATGACTTGCTAAATGAATGTAGAAGGTGAGGAGAAAAGAGCAGAATCAAAGATGATTCCTAGATTACTTACTGGAGTAATTACGCAGATGGTAGCTATGCAGAAGAGGAAGACTGGAGTAAATTGTGGGGTAGTGGCAATGAGAGATTTTTGCCTCTTACACCTTTTTAGATGTGCTAAGATTGAGACAATCGTTATGAGGGCCAGTACCTATGTCAAACATAAAACTAGCTATGTAAGGCTAGAGCTCAGAGAAGAGGTTGAATTAAGGATACAAACCTGCTGGGCATGGTGGCACATGCCTGTAATTCCAGCACTCGGCAGGCTGAGGCAGGAGGATCGCTGTGAGTTCGAGACCAGCCTGGGCTACACAGTGAGTTCCAGGTCAGTCTCAACTACATAGTGAGACCCTGTCTCAAAAAACAAGACAAACCAAAAAGATACAAACCTGAAAGTGTTAGCAAATAGATTAATATTCAAAGTGCAGGAATTTTACAAGATCACCTAGTGAGTGAGTAAATTCAAATGGGGAAAAGAGCTCCAAGGAATAAATCCTCAGCAAAATTTAGAGCTTGGAAGGAAAACAAGTCAGAAAGTGGGACATAGAAAAAGACTGATTAGAATGGAAGGAAAACCAGAAAAGTATGGAAGCCTAAGCCAAGTAAAGAAATATTCTAAGCTGGAGTGCTTGAGAAGCAACAGCTCAAGTTAAATGTTACCAGAAGGCTGAGTAACAGGACTTGTGGGTTTTGTTAAGTAGGAGGTTACTGGTAGCATAAAAATACGTACATAAAATTAGGTAGATGACGAAGGAAAGATGTATAAACTTCTTTGAAATTTTTCGGTACGATCCTACCACTTGTTGTCAGAATCAATGAGAACAGGAATGCCCTTTCATGACAAATTACTTGATGTTTCTTGCTGAGGCATGGGACACTAGCTGGAATGAAATACGGATCTAGTGCAATATGCTAATTCTGTACCAATACGGTATTACAGATAGGAAATACGGTGATTTATGTAACACTTTAGAAAGATCTTGCAGATTACACCTGTATGTGAGGACTATTCTTATTTGAATAGTCGTTGGTATTTGCTTCATCCAATCTGCCTCTGAAAATGGACAGTTATGTTTTGCCATCCACCCCAATCAGTCAGACTTGATCTGGACAAACTGAACAGAGAACAAATGAAGACTATACTCCATAGCTAAAGTGGCTCCAATGGTGAAAGACATTACAGAAATTCATAACCTCAAAAATAAGTGGATTTTTTGACAATGGCTCATAAAAAGCTCTTAATCGTTATACATTTTAAAAATCCCAATAACACATACATAGTTTTCAGTTTGCAAAGTTGAATGCTAACTTTCAGAACAAAAGTCCTTGTTTAAAATAACCTTTCTGATTCTAAGCAATACCCACTTACAGAACCCATGAGGAGCACCAAAAAGTTAAGCAGAAAGAAAAACTCTAGATTTTTAGTAGTTCTCACTTGATTCTGTGATAGGTAAAATCATTGAACCTAGATTCTTTACTATATTAAGGTGACTATTTCCTCATTCACTTATATAATGAGGCAGGAGTAGTATGGTACAATGCAAGAGCTTGTGTTCTGAATCAAAAGTCCTGAGCTTAGATCCAGGACTCAACAGCTGTATTATCGGGCCAGGGACTTAGCTCAGCGGTTCGGTGACCTGCCTTGCAAGCACAAGGACCCTAGTTCAATCCCCAGTACCAAAAAAACAAAAACAAAAACAAAAACAAAACAAAACAAAAAAAAGGGTCAATAGCTATGTTATCCTTAAAGCTAAGCCAGAATTTATTTCTAAAATAGGTTTAATTAATTCCTAGGGTTACCGTGAGAATTAAATAAGATAATCTGGGTCAAATTGCATAGCAGAGCATCTGGCATAAAGCAAGGAATATTAAAAGCTACTTGTTATAACTTTCTCAGAGTCAAAAAGTCTCCTGCACCAGTCTTGAGATGAAGTTTGACAAAGACCAAAATGCTGTCAACGACATTAATGGTCACCAACCGAAGGAAACTCAAATTGCTGAGTAAAGATATGTATCTCAAAGTCATGACTTCCTTTGTAAATCCCTAGATAAACCCAACATCTGTTTTTTTCCAATTCTGTTCTTGTCCCACCTTAAAACAAAGTCACATAATCACATAATCAGCAATCCTGATTGCTGCCAAAACCTGCATCAGCCAGGCCCTCTGTTTACACCACTGAGCAGCTGTTTTAATTATTCCTGGTGGATCTGTGATCCCACAGCGCATCTGTGGTACAGTCTCTAGGATGTCCTTCAGTGACACCCACTCCAGACGTTAATGCAGTGCGCCACTGCTTTCCACAATGAATACACCTAGACTATTTAACCAACTGGATTTTGCAGAAATAATAGGAACAACTCTTTCAAAGATGTGTCATGAAAGATGCAGCAACTTTGCCCTTACTATCTCTTAAACTGCTCAGAAGAAGCTGGCCCCTATGACTTGGGGACATTCTTGCAGCCATGGAAAGGTCCACCTGGGAAAAAACTGAAAGTTCTGGCCAACAACCAGCATCATCTGCCACACACACAAAGAATCACAGTGGAAGAGGGTCCTCCAGCCTCAGTTGGCTTTGAAGTGACTTTACACCCAGCTGACCTTTTAAGTACCAAGACTGCTGCTTCAAGGTCAATAATAACTTTTTTTTTTTTTTTTTTGGTACTGCGGATTGAACTCAGGACCCTGCACTTGTGAGGCAGGCAGCAGCACCACTGAGCTAAATCCCTGGCCCTAAAGACATTTTTTGTTTTGTTTTTGCTAAAATAGTAACTTCTGAAACATCAAATCAAAAGTTAATCAAATTTCAATCACATTTCCAATTGATTATTTCCTCCTTGAAACTCTTATTATCTTTTCTGAGGTACCTCTCAGTTTTTACATCTCTAATCATACTTTGTCATACAACTTGTTAGATCTTCTCCCCGACTCTTCAAATTCACTGTGACCCACTAGACAATGAGTAAGACAATGAGTGTTAAATGAGTAATAAATAATGCTCCTACCTCTTACTGTACAGCAAAATTTAACAGCATTTTATCAAAAGTATTTTATCATTTAACAAAGGCTGAATTCTTTTGCAATTAGGTCTCTGAATAGAAACTGATTTCCCTCACCAGAAAGAGATTCCCTCCTGCAACACAAATACACTTTGGCTATTGCAAAACGAGGAGGTGGATTTTTTGGAAATGGGGAAAAGGATGGGGGAGACGAGAGGGTAGGGAGGGTATAAAGGGATGGAAAATGATCAAACAAGATACATTATATACATAAAGCAATTGCTCAAAATGAGTGTAATTATTATATTGCAAACATGCACTAATAAAGAAATTTCAAAAACTAAAATTTATTAAAGTTAAATTTCTAAAAATGGAGGAGCAAACCTAAACTGGAGAGGAAGACCTGATCTTGAACAATGGCTCTTTACATTCTAAAGGTCATAGGCCTTTGAGAATCACATCAAAGACTTTTCTACCTCCAAAAGTATGTGTGCAAGACTTCATACCAGCGCAGATTTTTTTGTTTTGTTTTGTTTTTTGTACCGGGGAATGAACTTGGGTCCTTGTGCTTGTGAGTCAGGCAGCAGAACCACTGAGCTAAATCCCTGGCCCTATACCAGCACAGAAGACTTAGATTAAGATCGAATGCTAAAAAGAATTCAAACTGAGGGCTCAAGCAAGGAAGAGAGTAATCTATAGACAAAGCCAAAAATTTGGATAACATTACAGGGAAGCAAGTTTACTCACTGAAAATCAATTGACCAGTCCTTTACTTTGGACAACTTCATAAGCAAACAGTAAGCTTTGTAAAAACAGGCTCCTAAAGAGTATTATTGTCTTATGATCAAATAGTCAACACTAGGCAAACAGAAGATTCTAGAATGGATCAGATCTATTTCCTTAGCCATACTTGTTTTGTTCCTTAGTGGAAAACAAAGGACCTAAAGACAAAAAGAATTTACTATGTGTTTTTTTGTTTTTTTTTGAGACAAGGTCTCAATATGTAGTTAAGATGGACCTAGTACTCACTGTGTAGCCCAGGCTGGCCTTGAACTAACAGCGATCTTCCTGCCTCAGCCTCCCGAGTGCTGGGATTACAGGCGTGAGCCACCACACCTGGCTACTATGTATTTATAATTGAAATTATAAAGTTAATAGTTTTCACCATACTGGGGCTTCCATCTTTTCCCCCCAAATCCTGTCACTTTTTAGTTTAAGAAGACCTCTAAATAATGCTCTATACAAATAACTACATTGGCTAGGAGATCAGATTTTATTGTTCAAGATTGAGCAGAATCAGGCAGAATATCTTGGATCACTGTCTCAAAAAATCTGATATGTCTGGATAAAGAGAAAGTACCATCATTTAAGAGAAAAATGAGAATTAGTAACTTTTATCTTACCTTCAAAATTATTATATTGATTAGACTGGCCTACAAATAAGTACAAAGAGAGTAGATCCATGTATCTGACCTCTAATAATTACCAGTTCTACACTATTTCACTGTTTTTTGCATAAATTATACTTTAATCAGTCTTTTAATATTTAACAGTTAAGCATATATTAGAATATTTATACACACACTCCCACTGCAATACCAAATCTATCATACTTAAGAATCAGTCTATGCAAATAGAAAGTGATTTTTTAAAAGTTTCTCTGATAAACAACTAAAGTGTACAAATATGTGAACAAGAGGTGAAGGGAGGGTGGAGAGAGGAAAGGAGAGTGGATCTAAAAAGAATGAATATGTGTTAGGTAAATGTACAACTCCCCAGGATGAATGTAATTATTATGTAAACATGTACTAATAAAAATAAAAACTTAAAAAACTGAACTATAAGTACAGTATAACAAAAACATTTTAAATCCATCAATGAACCCAGGCTAAATATAACACCATCATTTAAAAACACCCAAAGCCTATATCCCAATAGTGAATTCGCAGTACAATTTATATTTAAATCAACTAAGCTATGCTTCAATTGTAAGTATTAATATGTTGGGCAATTTAAAATAAATAATAAAGTAGGGTTAAGTCCTTGAAATAATGCATAACACATTTTATAAGATGCATTATCTTAGTACTCAGTCACAGTTCTTGTTATCAATCCTTATCAAACTAATTTTTCCATATGTTACTCCCCATTTTTAATAATGTTAATTTTTGTTTTGTTTTTTGAGACAGGGTCTCACTATGTAGTTGAAACTGACCTGGAACTCACTATGTAGACCAGGCTGGTCTGGAACTCACAGAGATCCTCCTGCCCCAGCCTCCCAAGTGCTGGGATTATGGGCGTGCGGCTAATAATGCTAATTTTTTAAAAAAAGGTAAAATCATGACACATATGAAAGTCAACAAGGGCTCAAGATTGTGTTTGTTTTAAAAAGCAGTAAGACAGACAGCAAATACAGGAAATCTCAAAATTAAACACATAAATAGATCAGGAATTTTGAAATGAGTGTGCAACGGGAGGCAAAACTTCCACGCAATCTGTAGGAGACAGGAAAGAATCTCTCATATTCATAAATGAAAATTTCTTATCACAGATATCAGTTACATTTTACAATCTTAAAATCACTCCCTTTGAATCAGATAATCTAGGGAGTTTCGTGAATCTGAACTACCCAATTTTTCACTGAAGCACATTTTCCCTATGATGCAACACCTACAAGAAATGACAATACTCCACCATCCAAATGCTCCCCTCCCTACCAGACTTCTTGAAATAAGTCTGTTGCCAGTTTCTTGCCTTTTCATTCACCAAGCTACAGTAATCTTGTTTCAAAACACCTATGCTGGTACAGTTATCCAGTTTCATCTGATGCATTACCCACTCCTACAATTTTCTCGAATAAGGAAGATTTGCTGAACAAGTCTTAAAAACACGAAGGCAGATAATGTAGACAATTTCTAAGCTGGTTGCAAATGTCTTGTTCGGTAGGAGGTGGTGGGAGCGCACTTCTTTTGCAGAGCTATATGCCGGCTTTTATTTGGCACAGCTATAGATACCAGAACTCATTTCTAAAACTTCTGGGCAGCTCAAGAATAAAAGAGGACCGAACTGCAAGATTTCCCACCTAACAACAGAATGACCTAAGATTCAATCAAAGATTCATCAAAGCCAGCCCGGTCACTTCCCCATTATCCCGAGAGCGGAAACATAAAGCCAAACCAATGTCACTCCAGGGACTGCAGGGACCCAGACGACTTAGCACGCTGGGCTCAGCACCTACCCAGTTCTACCCGAGCTGCTCTGGGTGTGTGAAACGCCCAGTCCACAGGGGCGGCAGCAATGGGCTCCACCACTCGCCGCCCAACGAATGCCCAGCGCATCCCAGGACGCGCACCTCATGGGCGACGGCGCCACAGTCCCCGCGCCTGGCTGTTGACCCTCGCTCTTCTCATGGAGACTGCGACCCAGAGAGCACCTGGGCTGAAAGCCCAATTCACAGCCGGGAAAGAAAGGGCAGACTCATTCTTCCAGAAAAGTGACAGGGCGAACGCTCCCAGCCCGGTCCCGTGAGCCGCCGGCCGCACCCCCGGGCCGTCCCCGCCGGGTTCCGTCCCGCCTCTCACAGCGCTCCGGCGGTCCCATCCGTGCGGCGGTAGGGCGGTTTAGACTCCTGGTAGAAGGCGGCCGAGAGACCTATCCAGAAGACGCTCGCCAGGAGTGCAGAGGCTGAGACCAGTCTCCGGAGGCTGGCGCGACTAGCTGCAAAGGCTCCGAGCACGAGCTTCCGCTCCCAGCCACCGCTGCCCAATCAACGCTCGGCTCCTTTGTCACTTCCTCCTCGAAGGTAAAGGGAACGTCGGGCGGAAGTGAGTCGCGGACCGGAAGGGGCGGGCCCCATAGGCGGGTCTAGTCGTCTAGAACCTCGTGGAAGCCGAGGTGGGTCCTGTGGCTCTGTTGCTCCAGGTGAATTGGTTTGCTGCATTGATCTATCGCGTGCGTTTGGCGGATCAGGGCTGAAGCCCTAGTGGCTTCGGAAACATTAAGGCGGGGGATATTTGCGATCTCTTTCTAGGGTCGAGGAAACCCAAGTGACTGTAGACGTCCTCAGAGCAGTAGGTGGAGGCAGCTCAGCTACTCCCGGGGCTGATCGCGCGTGTGGACGGGCTCGCCTGAGGATGCTCTGCAATGTTCTCGGTGTGCGGAACCCTCCTTGCGTTCTCTTGACCGAAGACTTGCCTTAGGGACGTGTGACAGGTCTGTTACCACGGCCCAGGTCTTGCGTGCATCATGGAAATGACGTGTTGGGAGTGGGGGACATTTTGGGTTTAGAAGCGGTGAGAAAGAAGTCTCGATTAGGTCGTGAACTCTCGCCAGAAGAAGAGATCTGTGCATGTGAAACAGAAGTGACCAGTGCCAGGCTGTAAGGGAGGTAGTCTGAACGTCGAAGCAGTGAAAATTGCTGTGAGAATCAGGCTTGTGGATAAAGAGGTGGGTCTCAGACAACAACCCTTTTAAAGATAGGTGGCTGGGAGGATGCATGTTATTATAGGTGAGAGGATGGTACAAAAAAGTCGGTTACAGGACAAGGAAGGTGATCAGGCAGACCAGAGAAGTTATTTGAGAAATAAAGAGGTATAGAAAGGATAGCTTACTGGAAATCGACACTTTTATTAAGGGATTGGGGTAAAAACAGTGGATTTGAAAAAGGTTAATGAAGAAGCATGGAAGTGGGGGTGTTAGGTGGAAAACTAATAGTAATCCAGTTATAAGAGCTGGAATTGAAAGTAGTGAAAAAAGAGATCCTGCATAAGAGAAACAATCAGGTCAAGTTGACAGACATTAAAAAAAAAAAAAAAAAAAAAGCAGTTTAGGAGCTAGGAATTTAATTCAGTGGCGCTCCGTGCCTGCCTCGCACAAGGTCCTGAGTTCTATCCCGTTGTGGGTTGAGGGGAGCAGCTTAACGTAGTGCTTAAAAGCAGAAACTTTGGAGTTACACTGGCTGGATTGGAATCTGGCTTTGGCATTTGCTAGCTGGAAGACTTTGGGCTGTTAACATTTCTGCATCATCTAGGATCCTTGTCTGTCAAGACAAGAAAAGTAGCCTTCTTTATTATTGTGGAGTATTTTGTATATTTATGTTTACTAAATATTTTTACTAAATAATTTTACGAGTGTTTTGCAGACATCGATTCATTAAATTACTCATAAAGAGGCAACTGAAGATGTTTATTAGTTATATACATTTAACGTGTCAGTTACCATCTCTTAAGTACTCAAAATCTTGGATGCTATGTATTTTATTAATGAGCTAAAGGTTAATGAAAAGTTTTAAGCCTGGACAGCTGAGGAAAATCTGTGTTGTAGCACCAGAAAATGTGAGAGGAGGTTAGGAAGTAAAGTTGTATTAGCTGTGGACAGTTTAATTAAATAATACTGTAAGGTATGCAGAGGGATAGAAATTATTTGGAACAGTATAATTAGTATTTATGTAGATGGATAGGGCTGGAAATGGAGATATCGGAGCCCCTGGGCCTAGGCATGATATGTGAATTCTCCTCAGAAAATACTGTAGAAGGAAGTGGTAGATATCCAGAGACTAATGTGAGAAGCAATCACAGTTTCGAGGCTGGAAGAAGTAGGAAATTGAGGAAGAATTTGGACCTGGGATTTGGATCAGAGTTCCATCCCTGGTACCAAAAAAAAAAAAAAAAAAAAAA